TCACTTAAAAGCCAGACACTTGGAAAAAAAAAAAACACACACACACCAAAAAAGCAAGTTAAGTAGCAGCTGCAGTTATTATATCCCCTTCAACAACTTCCTGCCAATATCTGCGGGTTTCTAGCCACATTTTCTTCATCACACGATGACTAGATGTGGGGGGGGGGGGGGGGGAGGGGGGAGATTAGTGACCCTAGGTCTTTTCCATCCTTCATATCCATGGGTTCCTCTTCCAGATCAAGCTGCTTCAGGCTTTGCCCCTCTCTGTTATGAAAGGGGAGAAGCCTTTTGCACAGTGCCTGTGCTGAGGGTGTCTGGATGGGCCACACAGGTACTGTCCAGAAGAGAGGAAGGGACATGCTGGGGTATGTGATTGCCATGTGACCACAGGTAAAGCTCTATTTCCATTAGCTGCTTTCCCTCCCTACCTCCAGGGCCTCCCGATTAGATGAAAGTTGGAACTTCTCACCTCACAGAAAAAAAGCATCTCCAAACCCTACTCTTCCATTAACATTATGAGAATGGGTAGCCCCCCAACGTCATCTCTTTTATCAACATCTTCCTTCCCAGCCAAAGAACAAACTGAAGTCTTCCCAGAGCCCAGTTAAATGATAAAACTCTGAGTAATGGCAGAGGCACAGAAAAGCTGCTGTCCACCCGTTCATGTTGGGAAGTAACCGGACAGCTTAACACAGCCCCACAGCTCTCCTTGAGGGATGTTTAGCAGATGCCTCCTAGATTGGGCATCTTACTCATTTAATTGCAGCTTCTTCACTCCTTCACTTCTTCTCGGGAAGGTATGATGAATCCTCTAGCCAGAGAGACAGCTAACACCACCAGATAGCTAATCTATCTTAACACTCTTGATACAGATGAGTATTTGGGGAACAGGCAATTCTGTGAAATTGTATTTTAACCGAGAGCGTTCTAGACCTGGACGAGTCCGTCCTGTGAATCATACAACGAAGCACCAGAGCATGTTGGCTTTTGTTTAACGTAGCAGCACAAAAAGCCTTGCTGAAATGCACTCACAGAGTGGGAGAAATGAAAAGTGATGAGCACATAGGGATTACAGCCACTTTCTAAAGGCTTTTGTCACTCAAATCTTCCCCAATAACAGAGCCGTAAGGGGAACCTGCAGTTCATGGGGCCAGTTACGAGCTGTGGCATAGCACAGGAGAAGAAACCAAATCAGTTCTTACCAATTAAGAACAAGCCTGGACAACACCAGTGCTGAGTATTTCGGTGTGCCCAACCATTTACTGTGAAAGGCTGGTGTCACTGCACCAAAAAAGCATCACAGAAGAAAGCCCAAGATGAGGAAGAAGACCACCACTTTGCTAGCAAGACCAAGAGTCTCGCTTCCCACACAGCCACACCTTCCCTGTCCACAGTCGTTTTGCAGGGCAATGGCACAAGATTCACAGAGCACAAGTGTAAATTCAAAGCATCTCTACCTGGGCATCAGGGCCCATAATCTATCAGATGCCATCTCTTTAGGTGTACCAAGGTGTCGTTAGTGCTCGCTGGCTGTGACAGAGAGTAAAACGTGGGCCAGTCACTGGTCGTTTCTGAACCTTCAGAAAACTTAGAAAATGCATATTATATTTAAAAGTTCTCAAGTTTCACGATCTGACCTAATTTATTTTTGCATGCAAAGCCAGAAACGTTCATATTTATCCAGTTAAACTGGAGTCCACTTCATGGGCTAGTCCTGTATTTCAGTAGTGAAATGAAATACCATGCTGGGCCTCTGCAGAACTCTGTTTTTCATATTTTGTAATTCGCATGGAAGAGAAACATTTTGGAAATGAGATTTGGCCTACAGTATTTTATCTAAGAGTGCAAAGTGCTACTTTTGTGATTTCTAATTTCACCTAAGCCCCATATGCTCAAGAGCTTCAAAATCCCAAACTAAAAAAAAATCAGAAAACTCCATTTAAAGCTTAATTCTGAGCGAAAGAGGCATCTCTCTATTTCAGACCTTTCTTGTTATCAGTTGATACTTTCACCAGTGTGGTGAAATTCTTCCTTTCACAAAGAGGGCTATATAAAGTGTACACATCACTTACGTCCTACTTAAATCTTCCAAACAAAGCTTCCACGGGACTTTTATGGTGCTCGGCCCCTTGCACTGGGCCTCTGCATGAGAGCAGGTTTTATTCCAAGCACATTAAAAATAATCTTGAGTGTTTACTTCCTGTGAACCGATTCCTGAAAGCTGCTAGGATTCTGCCAAACACCGCAGATCCTGCTGAGATTTGCCTGCTCGGATGTGAAGGTAGAGGCTGGCCCCAGGCGTGACTTAATGGGGCTGCCAGCAGCCCGCAGTGGGATTACGTCGTCGGTGAGGGGACCACTCTGTTAAGGTGTTTTTCCTGCTGTACTTAAATTTAAATGCTTCTCTGGTTCATCCCACCACTCTTTGACTTCTTGGAATAATATTTTGCCAGCCTTGCTAGATTTGGAAGGCTTGGGTTGTCTCACGTGGAAGTCGGTGTTTTTCATTTTGGAAGTTGTCTGATTAGGCCTTTATTGACCCCAAAATCCCCAAAGGTTTTCTAGGCTTTGACTTGCTGCACAAGTTGGTGTCTGCATTTTTTTTCTTTGTCACAGCACAGGCACGGAGAAGAGGTGGAGCAGCTGCCCGCGTTCCCAGCCCCAGCTCATCCTTTCCAAAATTTTTAAGGCATAAAATCAGGGAGTGAATATCATAGCTTTCAGCACTTGGAAGAATTACAGTTTTGTTCCCAAATGGGCAAGTTTAGAGAGTTGCTTTGGCAAATATTACAAAATGGCTGGAAAGAGCACTGGGTCGCGCGCAGCGCCGGGTGCGAGCTCAGCTCTTGCTCCTCAAGGGCGCCCGCGCTGCCGCCTGCTGCGCCGTCCCTCCGGCCAGGGAACGCTCTTGGCGTTCCTCCAGCGAAACATGTGTTTTGATTACCAGCATTCGCTGTCCGGAGTTTGTGTAATTTTTCAGAGCAAAACGATATTTTTAAGAGCTAAGCGAAAATCTCTGTTTACGCTGAGAAACAACTATATGAACTTGACTCTAATGGGGTCAAGTTGAGGCTATGGTCTCAGGAAGCGTAACGGGATTCCTACAGTAATTCAGTATGCTAACAAACGTTTCGGCCCCCAGACAGATTAAGCACCACGTAAAAGGAGCCGGTTTGATTTTTTTATAGCTCTTGAAAAATGCTGATTCAATGAGCAAAGCACGTGTTCTGCTGAGTCCATTTAAAAATCCCTGCGGAGCCTGGTGTGCCATGCTGCATATCTAACGCCACCGGGCTGCATTGCCTGCTGTGGTGAGCCGGCAATGACGTTAGGTGAGAAATCTTGCAGGGCAGTTTGCAAACCTCTCCCAGATACCTGGGAAGCACGGCCAAGCCTGAGAAGTCCCTGAATTTTGGTGAAGCTTCACTCCAGCATCCACTTGTCCGTCACCTCAAGGACGCCAGCGGCAGTGGGGAGAAAGGTCCCCCCGGCTCGTGGCAGAGGGTGCTGCTCATTCCCAGGAAGGTATTGCAATTTGGCCCTCAAATGCCACCGCTGAGTGGACGCTCCCCACCAGGGTGTATTCTTTTTTTTTGACGTGACAGAGAAGAAATATCCCTCCTGCCCCATACAGGAGCTCTGGAGAGAGCCCTTATATAGCAGAGGGAGCAGACACTCTTGAATTTGCAGACTTTTAAAGAAAAATTGAGGTATTGTCTTTCTTGTAGGTGCATTTCCAGAAGCTGGTTAGGAAGCGTCCATGGCTGGGGAGCCAAAGCTAGATTAGCCTAAGGAATATGGTCTTTCTTATGCTTTCTATAAGGCCAACTTTATGTGTTTGGGATTACCCCTGGGAAGAGCTGCTCTCTATCTGCCAAGGGAGGGACAGGAAGGTCACCCTCTGGGCTCCCGTTAGCCTTTGTGAATGCACCCCCAGCTATTTTGAGATGCATGCAGCTGGCTTTCCCGGCAGCATATGCAGGCTATCACCTCTCTGCAGGGCAGCCCAGCCAGCTGGGGAGCCATCCCCTTGCCTGCCTCCTGTGAGATTTGCTTGGGACTCAGGCTGCCTGCCCAGCTCCGTTTTGTCCTCCTGTCTTGTGGTCTATAACGTGCCTGCATGAGCCTATTTGTTTTTTTAATCCTCCTAGGAAGAAGCAGCAGCAGTAGGTCTGGGTTGTGGTGTGCAGAGAGGGATCTTATTGCTTTCCCATGGTGCCTGGATTTGGGGGGATATTTTCCTGCCTCACTGTTCCTGCT